TCGAGGGGAGCCCTTTGAGGGTAATTTTTGGTGCCAATCCAACTCTAAACCCGGTCACAATCAATGGCTGGGAACCGCCACGGAAACTGGTGGTTCTGGAGCGCCGGAGAGGATTGATAACCCCCTGGATTGCCAATTTACAGGAACTCCGGATGACTTTCGGGGTCAACACCCCCACACCCCTCTATGAATCTGTAGGGTTCAGTCATCCATGGTCGGGTTCATGACCCCGGCACCCATACCTACCAAGACAACAAGAGAGACAACAAAAACAAAGCAAACAAACCAATCAAACAGATTGACAAGGCAAACAAGCAAACGACAGAACAGCAAGAAAGCAAACAAGCAAACAAGCAAGAAAGCTAGCAAGCAAGCCAGCCCCCCCCGCCATGCTAGTCATAATCAACACCACCATAGTATTGGAATCGTCCATCCAAAGCCATGTCTAGAATCCAAAGGGCGGATAGCCGAATCCATTTGTGGGGACTGTCCCTCACCGACACCTTCACTTCCTTGGGGTTTTGTGACTCACATGTGGATGTGTCTTTAGGGGACCCAAAAAGGCGGTCCTGTTTGAACAACCAAAAAGGGTACCTTGAAAATCAACCAAAAAGGGGACCCTTTTTGGGATGGTAACGGGAAACCAAAGGACACCCTTGCCATTTTGGGAGTCTGACTGCCTATTTTGAGACCAGCCACACCCAATAGGTTGGTGCTTGTCAAAAACAGTAACCAAACTCTCTGCCCCAAAAAATGACTGGTCCAAACCCCAGCAACCAAAGAATGAATGGCCCAAACCCCAAGCGACTACAAGCCCATGAGTTTTCGAGTGAACCCATGGCTGACGTGGCCCGTACACCCCCAGTGAACATCCGATTCAATCCCCACTAAAATAGGTTCCAAAATGGGTGCACCGAAAACCCCCAAACTGGGATCCGATCCAAAACGGCTTGGACAACAGCGATATGGCGAATGACTGGTCTAAACCCCAGCGACTTGAAGCCCCATGACTTTTGCGAGTGAACCCATGGCTGACCTTGGGCGCTGTTGGCCCCGCCTGAAAAGGTTTAACTTCTTGGGGTTTAGTGGAAAACCCAACTTGATTTCAACCAATCAAGAAGTTAAAGTCTAAAGATCCAACTCAACAGCAGTTAAGTGACTTGGCCGACTTCCTGCCTTGGAGCCTTGGAGCTTCCGCTCCAACTCGTCCATCTGCCGCTGCGCCACCTCCAGGCCGTCCGCCAGCCGGCGGGCCACGCCGCGGGTCTCCCCGTCCATCTCGATGCTGAAGTCCCGCTTCGCCTGGGCCAAAGGCGACGGCTTCGCGAGCTCCGGAATAAAAAGGCCGCAGTGGATGGATGGGGGTTGGATGATGGATGGATGGCTGGGTGGATGGGTGGATGGGTTGGATGTGGATGGTGCCAACGTTTGGAGGGGGGCTCAGAAAAACCCCTGATCTTGGTGCACTTCTTTCGGCTGAAGCGACGCCTGGCATTTCTTCGAATCCGACACGAGCACCGAGGACGGCGCCTCATGGATCTGCTCCGACAACTTGGCGCTGTCCTGCCCATGGAGAGATCGAGTCGAGAAACCGAGTGGATTCTCAACATGCAGCCTCAAAACGGGGCTGGGGCCCTGAACGTGGGTGGAGTTGTTATTATTATTTTTGGGGGGAAGGGGGTGGGGGAGTAAAATAGAGGGTTACTGGAAACAGAAGAAGCACTCAGGCTCCAAGAAGAAAAAATGGGTTTGGGCCAACCACCCAACCAACACTGTGATGGTTTTGCAAGGAAGACATGCAAAAGAGATTGGCCTTAGGACAAACACCTTCATGATTGAACCCCTCCACTCACTGACTTACATTGGTTCCTTGGCTAGCTTCTTGGGAGCTTCCAGCATCTCACCATTTGGCAGCGCTTTGAATTCTTTCACGTATGACCTTTTTGTGGGCTAACGAAGCCCAGTCATTAATTTCCCCACGCTGCTTCAGATTGACATGGAACCCAACAAAAAACATCCATTAGAGACATCTCTTTGTGTGGGGCCCCGTTGTGTAGGTCGGTGTTTCATTTGCTGGGCAGCATCTGACCCGAAAACCACCTGCAAAAAGCCTGCGCAGGCAGGCCTTCCTTCCCAATGGTTCCTGAAGCCGACCCCACCGTGTCAAGCAACGTCCAGGCCTTTCAGCCGAAGCCTTCATAAACCATACCTTGTTTCGGTCAAAGGCGTAGGAAAACAAAAAAAAACGCCATATTATTGGTCGGAACCCATGAACGTCAAGCAGCTTCTCTTCCTGACCCCGGATCTAAGTTGAATCCTATTAATAAAAGGTGTCACCCACAAAAGTGGTCTAAACCCCCACTTAAGGGGAAACCGAGACTCCACAAAAGGTTCTATTTAGATCCAGGGTTTCCACTAGGTTGTTTCCTTGTGATCTATACATATATAAAAACATACCCCAGATATATATATATATATATATACACATGCATACAAAAGAGGGAGAGATTGAGAGAGAGACAGAGAGAAAGCGAGAGAGAGAGAGAGAGAGAGAGAGAGAGAGAGAGGGAGGGGGAGGGGGAGAGGGAGAGAGAGAGAGAGAGAGACGACTGTGTTTCAACCACCCTAAAAACAGTCAACTGCATGGACCAAACCGGGTAGTTCCCATTTCGCCTTTCCGGCCGGGCCTTGAGCCACAAGGCTTGTGCCTTCTCCAGTGCAGAGCCCAGGCGCGACAGCACCGTCTCGAAGCCTGAGGGCTCACCGAGGATCTATCTAGGGCGCTCTTGGGATTTCCGGATCACTGTTTTTGTGGGTGACACATGGTCACACCACATTTTGGACGGGAAACCTTCTGGGGTGCTTTTGGAAATCCGGATCAATTTGTTATGGGTGACACCACCTTTTTGGGACGACTTGTTCCTATAAAAAGAACCGGGTTCCACTTAGCTCCGCGACGTTTCCCACCTAGGTCCTCCAGTAGAGAGGTTAGAATAACGGTGCCCTTTTTTTTGTTCTGTAGTCTATTTTAATAGGGGAACCCTCCTCCAAAAAAGGGCAAAAAGGCACTACTGGGGGACCTAGCCACATTTCTTCCATCGAGACCGAGGCGCGGTGCTGCTCCTCCACCCGCGCGTTCTGCTCGGCGCCCAAGGCCCGCTCCGCGTCGCCCAGCTTTGCGTGCAGCTGCTCGTGCCGCATCTGGAACTGCACCCAGAACTCCTGCGGAGCATCCGGCGCTCGTTTCACCCACAAAAGAGAGGAGACCCGCCAGTTTTTCCTCTAAGTTGATTGAACGGGTGGCAAATGCGGCAAGTTTTTGGTTACCTATTATACTATACCGCTCGTTTCACCAAAGGTAGGTGCCATTTTTCCAAAGGGTGGCAAACCTAATGTTGTTACCTATACAAAGAAATGGAATCACTTGGAGTTTTTTCACTTGTGCTTGACAAAAAAAGAGCCCAGAGTGAGTCCCGCCCAAACAAACACGCAACCTTTGGCTCAAACCCCTTGACTTGCTTGGTGGCTAGACAGTGATTGTGGTTTTCCCTTTGCGTGATAGAAAACCTCATGGGATGATGGCTGTATACCTTTTTTGTGTGTCTCTCCGGCTTCTTTGGTTGGCTGTCTCTTGGCCCACAGGCGTACACAGAGCATATGGTGTGTTGTTTATCCCTGTGTGGTTTCCCTTTAAAGCCACAAACACAGGCAACCCTCAAAAAACACACCCTCAGATTTGCTCCAGCTTCAAAGGAAAAGGGCCTGCTTCGGGTTGGCTTCCCTTTAGGCTCCATTTGTGTTCCCTTCAAAAAAGTTGTGTTGGGTGGTTTCAAAGGGATAGAAGACTTCTTTGGCTTTGCGCGCACACACAACCACCCAAACGAACACACAAAGACACACACACACACACGCTGACACCCATACAAACAAACAGAGACACAACACACACGCATACAAAAAACACAAACACACAAACACACAAACACACATACACACACACACAAAAAAACGTAAACACACAACACACGCAAACGCAAACATACACCTCACACATGCGCGCTCTCATACCACCCCACCACTCGCACACACACACACACAAACACACAAACGCACAAACACACAAACGCACAAACACACAAACGCACAAACACACAAACACACAAACGCACAAACACACAAACACACAAACGCACAAACGCACAAACACACAAACACACAAACACAGAAACACAGAAAGACACACACACACACACAAACACACACACACACACACACACACACACACACACACACACACACACACACACCCACACCCGCACCCGCACGCGCACGCGCACGCGCACGCGCACGCGCACGCGCACGCGCATGCGCACGCGCACGCGCACGCGCACGCGCACGCCCAGGCACACGCACGCGCACACCCACACAGACACAGACACAGACACAGACACAGGCACAGACAAACACACACACACACACAGGCACACGAACGCGCAGCGCACAAACACACACAAGCCACTCATCAGCTGAGCGATGTCAAGAGCTAGCTTAAAAGCCAACTCAACCGCTATCTTGACAGCTAGGAAGCTAACGATGAAACCGTCTACTGACTGGCTAGATACTGGGTTGTTGGATCAATGCCCAACCCTTTGAGTCATTCGCTTGCTCACTTATTCATGAACTGGCTAGCTAGCAGGCTAGCTAACTATCCAACTGATCTAAACAGTGATTGAGTGCCTCTTCATCAATAGCGTCTTCCCGTCTGCGTCTCGAAACAAATGCATCAGCGGCGCTCCTAGAAGAGGCAACCCCCCCATACTCAATTGCCTCCCTCACGTCTTGCTGGGCGCGGCTTTTTGCAAACGCTTGCAACATCTAGAGGCATCAGTGCAGTCGCCGGTCGGCAAATTTCTTGCTAACAAGCCAGGAGGAAATCGCAATCCAAGGCGATTGCTATCTAGCGGTTAAAACCAAAATCCCGAGCTCACGGTTCGCCCAGCTCAGGACTGTGCATCGATCTTATTCCAAACGCCGCTCGGCTGGACGATGAACTTGTTTGCGTACCAGTCCTGGTGCCGAGTTGCTAGAAACATGGCAACCCTGGTAGAGAGGAACAAAAGGAAATCATTCGGAGCAACCCTGTTTCTCTGGTAAAGACTCTTTGAGTGGGCGAGAAAGGAACAAATGAAACACAAAATGATGAACACCCTGAATTGCTAAGGGAAAACGGGAATGCCAACAAGCAGCCAAAGGGCGCACGGAAACCCACCAAGGAAGACCAACAATCCCTTCCCCCAACTGCAACTCGTCCTTCCGTACAAAATTTGGGGTGGGGCCGGTGCAAGGTAACAAGCAGGCATCCGGCTTCATTTATTCTGCCCGAGCTCTTTTGGCCTGACCCCCGTGGTCTCTTGGGTAGCAGCAGTTTTATGAAGCGGCCTAGACAGAATCAAAATGGACAATATGTTGGTTTCCGTTTACAAATTGCCTTTCTGTGTTAACCTCCATTTGCTGAAGTCCCCATTAAACAAAACACACACACACAACAAAAACACACACACACATCCTGTAGTGATAGATTCCCTTTATATAACACAAACAGGGAAAGAAAGGCAAGCCTTAAGCAAATGGAAGTTTATGGGCTAGAGCCCCGTAGTTGCTGGGAGTCCAATTCATTGCTCACGTACAGACCACAGACAAACTGCGAATCCATCTTGAACAGTCAAACTTTATACAAAGTTGGTTTCCCGTTGGTTAGAACAAGAAACATCTGGGGTATTTGCTTAACCCAAGCTGGGAGTCCATCTTGAACAGTCTGGCACGCAGGTCATTGCCCTTCTTGCTGGCATCGTTGATGTTGTCGATGAGGGAAAGGTAGTCAGCCTCCAGCTGCTGTGCGTATTTGTTATCGTACTTGTGGTCCTGAATGCGACAACGCGAAATGGGTGGGACCCAACCCCCCGAAACCTCGCAGTTTCATGTTGACCTCGGATCTAACTAGAACCCGTTCTATTTATCGGGGTTCCCTCCAAAGCGTAGGAAACATGTCCAGACCTTTCTGGCGACATGGCAGGCTCCCATCTCTGCTTGACTTCCCCTTTGTATGGGTTGGAAACAGTCGGGTTTTGGGACGGCTGCGAATGGTACATTTTGACGGGTGCGATTTGGGTGCAACAGGGTTTTCTTCATTGAAAGTCGGCTTTGGCCATGCGAGGGGAGCAAGCCGCGAAATCGCATGCGTCGGTCTGAGGTGCCACTTGCAGCCTCAATCTCAAACAAAAGCCGGCTGTTTGCTTCCGACCCTCCCCAGGTCCCCCAAATCACAGCAAATCTAGATTTCATCCAACCCCCTGTGTATTTTTTTACATTTGTTTGGAGGTACATGGCGCATGTTTGGTGTTTTACGTTGGACCATGTCCCCAAACACAAGCAGTCACCACAATTTTGAAGACCGTTTTAGTAGCAGTCAAATAACATTTTCATCATCCACTGTTAGTGGGCGGGTACTGCATGCCGGTCAGCCTCTCCTCCCCTTTCACGTGCATGGTGAGGGTGTTGGTGAGGTTCAGCACTGGGCTCTTTGGCGCCTCTCGAGCCGAGTCGGTTCGGCGAATTGTTGATTGATGCTTTAGGCTGCAAACTTCCTCCAAAACTCCACCGTGGTCCAATCAAACCTAGCTTTCCCTTTGAAGGGGCAATGGTTCTTTGTTTGAACCAGTTTAACATGTAGGGTGTCTTTTATAGGATTCAGACCCAAAAAGGGGGGCAGCACACTCATTAGTCTTGTTGAGTATGCCTCAAGTTCCCGGGTTTCGTAAAGAGGGTCAACTTGGTGTCCCAGGCTACCCCTTGTTTTGGTTAAGTGCTAAACGGAAACCAAAAGAAACAAAAAACAAGGAAGATGGGGTCGCTTGAGCAGGAATCCAACAGGACAACCGAAGCCATGTTTTTTTGCTTTTTCTCTTTCTTTTTGGGGGGTCCGAATCCTAAAAGTCTGAAAAAGCGGCACCCCCCAGTGGTTTTAACCCACCTCCTCTTGGTGTGCATTGAGCCGTCCCAGCAAGTTTGCCCCCCCCCCCCCCCAACCGCTAATAGTATGAACCCTGCTGAAACATATTTCATCCAGGCGCTGCTTCGGTCACAGGAATGCCATGTAGACTGGTGAAACTTATTTTGGTTCACCCTGCTTAAACAGCCAAAATCGCAGCTCAAACTAACCTGTGGCCTATGGCGTAAACCGATTGAAGAACCTTCAAATCGCAATTGTTAACCTCCTGGCTTGCCTCTTTGAACTTCTCACATTCTGCCGGCTTCCCTTTTTCGGGAAACCCTGCATTTGCTTAAGTTCCCCGACAAAACAAACCAGGCATATGTCCAGTGATAGATGTCCCTTAAAACCAAGGAACATATCACATTTTCTTAAGCACATGGAAGCAAATAGTGGACACCCGGAACTGATAACCCCGCCTGGTCAATCGTAATAGTTCTGAGTAGGGAAGCAAGAGAGGCTTTGAGAACAAAACCGGCGGAGCCGACGACGTTTCGGTTAACTTCCGCCTCCAAAGGCATGGGAAAAGTGCCGTTGGCACGCCAGCGCTCTGGATGCTCGCCGTGAGGGCCATAAGGCGAGGAGGTGATGGTGTTGCCTGAGTGCTGTGAGCTCTCAAGATGGGGTCCCTGTTTTAAGACACGCTCAATATGGCTACACATAATGCTGCATCTCAGTGCTCTGTCGACAACAAGAAACCTGGGACTTTTACCTCTAGGTATTGCATCAAGGTTTGTAAAAACCCTGCTGAAATGGCTGCAGAAGAGCCTCTATGTATCTCCAGCTACAACCTTCTGAAACTAACCGAGCACGCCAAAACTGGTTGAACCCAACGTCACTGGGCCAAAGGAACTGGAGAAGACCGTCAATGGACCAAACCAAATGGTGTCCTCAAGTCGACCGTGGCCAAGTGAGTTGAGCCAGTTGTTTCCCATGAGGACCCCCTGTTGAGTGCTGGCCGATGCGAGAAACAAGTCCACGATTGGATAGTGCTAGTGGCACGGTGGAAAATGCAGCTGAAAAGGAGCACGGGCATGGAAAGGTCGGCTCTGGTTTGTATAGCGCTGTAAGCCTGTAAACCAGAAGACACTAGCGGGGCAGGCGACCTCGCAAGGGAAGTGACCAGGACGGTGACTTTTCATTGATTCATTGGTGGGCCTTTTATGACTTATTGCCCAGCCACCAATATGAGTCCTGTGAGGCAGTGCATATTTATCAGTGGTACATAACCTTGAAAACCGGTTTAGTTCACGATTGGGTGTGCTTTGGGTGTGGTAGGGCCCTTCAGAATCCTACACCTAAAAACTATCACTAGTAATTCTGCAAATTGTTCCACAATCAACAACCTGAAATCGGTGTGTCTTAAAATAGTGGACCCTCCAAATTCAAATAGTGGTTTTCCTTTGGCAACTTTCTAAAACCGCTCCCACAAGGGTACCCTGTGAAAACAGACACGCACATACACACACACACCAAAAATAATTGCATCCTCCCGTAAAGAACCTTCTCACTTCCTTCCTCCTTGGTCGCTTTACCGCCCAAACATTTTTTGGCCACTCAAGGGTCTTCCCCACAAGGGTGTTTTTACATTTTTGGAGGGTACCCGTACCCCTTTTATGGTTTTTAAAGGGACACCAAAAGGACACCACTCATTGTGGGGTCCGCCCCCCAAAAAAAGACACCCAAAAGTCTGAAGTCTAGGAAGTCCATAGAGTACCCAGTGCTTCCAGATACCACTATCATACACAAGGGTATGTCTTTTTTTAGGGGAGCCCCCACACTTGTGGTTTTCCTGGGTTTCCTTTAAAACCAACCAAAAAGGAGTACCAACTTGGACAAACAAACAAGCGGGGATACGGAGGGAGCGGGATATGGGGGGATTCCCTTGGTGCCATTTCCCATATCAAACTTAGTCAAGGTGGATTTATGGGGAATCCTCCCGTATCCCTGGTTCCCCTTGTATCCCTGCTAGTTGGCTTCCCTGACCAACTCCAACAATAAGCAAAGAACCGGTAACCACACCCACCAAGTAGTCCAAGTCAGTCCAGGAAACGGCGTGCGCTCCGAAGCGCAGGTGACCATTTGGCCCTGGTAAATGCGGCATAATTTTAAGCAGTGGAACCAAACAAAATATGTCTAGGTCCTCCAGTAGAGAGGTTAGAATAAGGGTACCAACTTGTTTCTGTAGTCCATCTTAGTGGGGAAACCCTCCCCAAAAAAGGGAGGGTAAAAGGGCACTACTGGGGGACCTACATGTCTAACCAAACTAACCGATCAGAAGGCCCCCTTCTGTTTTTACCTGTTGGTTTTCGAAAATGCCCCACCATCACCCATGGCGGCTTGAACCGTGGGATACTCAAACACCTCAAAGGAACCCTCCTTGAAGCGGAAGTATGGGGAGCCGTGAGACTATTTGATGACAGGGGTGTCTGAAAAATCTCAAAACTAGAGGAACCCAAATAAGCTGGCTTCCCTTTGGTTTTCCGTTGAGCCTAAAGGAAATAACCAGATTTGGGGGCCATTTTAACACGCCATCGCCAAGTTGCCCGAACCCCAGCGCTTACGGTCGACGATGGTGTTCAAGTTCCACACCGCATCCATCTCCTGCGGGGACGCATTTCGGCGCACGCCGAAACCAGTGGGAAACCCAGCGGAACAGGACGGTCCAGTGACTCCTGTTCCAAGCGCCTGCTTCAGACCACCCCCAAGTGGCATTGAAGAGGGTCCCTTGGCAGCCTTTGAGTATGGTGACTGGAGGTGTTGACGTGGGCAGGTTAAGCGGAACCAACCCTGTCTGCCTTTCATGATCCCAAAACAAACGCACTTGCTCCAGTTTCAGGGGCATGGGCATCATATGGCCATGGGTCAAAATTCCCCCAGTGAACATCCCAATCCCCACTAAAATAGGTTCCAAAATGGGTGGTGCACCTACCCAAAAATGAAATCCCATTGGTTTTGACCCACAGCTGTATGCCTCGGGGAAGTGGCTCCTTGTTGAGATAGATGAGGATCTTGTTGATGTACCGCGCGCGCGGGGGCAAGTCCGCACCACTGGTGCTGCGGCGACGGCGTCCGTAGGTGAGGGTCTCCTCAATCTCCTCCTGCGCAATCTCCTCCTCAGCCTGACACTTGGCCCGAGGTAGTCCATGTTCTGATTCCATTGTCCCATATGTACCTCAAATATAACTAGTGTGGCTCTGATTCTGTCCCATATCTAGCCTTAAGTATCAAAAATGGCTATGAACTTTGATGGTTGGAACTTCTGAAAAGTGGTTGGTGGACATAAATCCCGAATTCTGATGTCCCATATGTACCCTCAAATATGACTAATGTGGTTCTGATTCTGTCCGATTTCTGGCCTCGAGTATAAGCAAAAATGGTTTGAGGAGCACCCAGGTGAAAGGCTGGTAGGTTTAGGGTGGGTTTGTGTTGTAGTGGTTTAGAACTAGTTTGGGTCTGTTTCGGGTACGTGGGCAGAACAAGGCCCGGGTTTGATGGATCTGTGTTATGAAAGTATAGAGGGCCCACAGCCCAAAGCAGGTCCGACCCATGGCTTACCAAGGGCGGACTGGTCCCGTCACCCTCAAATCTCCATCCTGGAAAAAAGGGCACTTGAAGGGAACCTTATTCCCTTGCAACAAACTACGAAACGGGGCACTTCCGAGATTTTCTCATGGGCATCCCCCTCCCACAAAAACGGAAGCGAAAGGACCCCACTCCACTCGACACTTACGGGTGGAAGGCTTGGCCTAGCGGGACAGGGCAGGGCGTCAGGCGTCAAGGGAGTTCTCAAAATAGGAATCGTGCCCGCTAGAAATCGTTAGCTTCCTTTTGGCTTCCCTCTAAATACCTACCAAAAAGAGGGTCAATCACATTTGCCGAAACCCTGAAATGGGCCCTTTCTGGACCTGGGGCCACCGCTACATGCCACCTTTGTAAGGGATGAAATGAGTGGGTGTATCCTTTGAATCCTGCCTGAGCCGTGCCAACCCTTGTCCATGAATAAATCAGAAAGCCCAAAAGCAAAGCGTCAGGGTTTCATTCAATCTCCATGCTCAAGCAACCATTCTTAGTTTCAACCTGTCCAAAGCCTGCGCAACCGTTCCCCCCGAAATTGTTCGCGCGCTCCCCCCCCCCGCCCCCCGCCCCCAAACGGTACGGTGGCTTGGCATTTCTTTCGGATCTCGCTCGGAAATTCAGCGGTTTGCCTTTGGGCTCGCTGCTCAGGTTTCCCAGTGTGGCATTTTTCTTGAGTACCCCCAAGGTAAACGCCTGGATACGGATGAGGGGAATATCCAACCAAAAGGGAAACCGATTCCTGGCGAGAAAACGTCCTTGGGCCAATCGGAAGCTGGAAACCTGTTTCCGGATGGGCGAAATCCTGGGATCAGCAACGTGCGAAGTGGAGCTTGTCCATCAGTCGCTACTGAGGGCCCTGGAGGACAAAGGGCCGCCTTCCCATTTGCTGCCGCTCATCAGCATTGCAAATTAGCCCCCCTGGTTATGAATCAGACCGCCATGGAACAAGCTGAAGCCACTATTATCTATTAAGCCTTCCAAGGGGGCCCAGGGTCGGTCTTTCACACAAAAATGCATCCAAGCTGGAAATCATTGTTTTTTTTCAGGAAACGGCCCCACCTGCTGCAGCAGGGACTTGCGATTCCAGACCACTGCGCTGCCGGTGGCGTTCTCAATCTTCTCCATGGTGTAGTTCCTAATTCAGTCACAAAGAAAACCAAGTTGATTCGTTGATCGCATGCCACACCGCTCCCTGAAACCAGGATCAGCCTCATAAAGGGTCCCAAGTCTTACCCAGGGCTGCCAGTGGACAATCATGATATTCCATGCAAACCCTGCTAAGAAACCCCTGTGGCAACTGCATTTGGCAGTTGATCAATATTCCTGTTTCCGGAAAACGCAATCTTCGCGAGAAAGCATTTTATTTCGCGAATCTTTTGCGACTCCATCGCCACGCCCTTTTGTTTGCAGCGTGCGCTCTGGAGCCATTGTGGCTGCTGCAGTTATGCTTGCGAACACGGTAGCCGCAGTTCACGTGCGTGCAGTACGTAGTGTTAAGTGCAAGCAGTCACCGTCATTCACCCTTGCCACTTGCGCTTGACGGCGATGTGCGGAACCTTGCAACAAGCTCCCTGGCCTTTCGCCGGTCTTTCGCGGATCTTTCGCGAAACTTGCTCCAAAATAGCCCAGCCAACGTTATTGATTTGCACCATTTCTAAGACAGGCAGGGATCAATAATGCAAGTGTAGGTGCTGCGTATCTCCCTATCTACAAGGGAGCGGGGGCTGCAAATATGTAAGTGCACAGGCATGCCTCCAAGAATCCAACGCGGAATCATTCGCGGAAATAAAAAGTTTCTTTCGCGAACTCCATCGCCGATCTTTCGCGGAGGGATTTAAGCCAAGACGAGTGGTCACCGAATACATAACTCCTTGCAAGGACCCTTTGATCAACGCCCATTTATCAAAAACTCGCGGACTTCCGTGGCTTGGGTTTCTGCGGGCCACATGGAAGAACCATTCAATAGCCCTAGACGTCAACCGTCAGAAAGGACTCTGCGGGAAACGGATCCCTGGAAGGGCTTGAACCTCAAAGATACTCCTTATCCAGGAATGCTTGTACATACCCCTTTACATACCCCTTGGGCAAATGAACCCAACAGGCCTGCTGATGTTCATTCCCCTCTCGCCAAAAGGGGTATACACCCCTCGTGAAGTGGGTTGGAAACCAGGGAAGCCAAGGCGTATGCAGAAGGGGTATGTCCACCCTTGGACCTTAGGTAAACAATGGCAAAATATATATATATATATATCATTGGTTTGCTTGGAATATCAGGGTTGCGGCAGTTGGATCGGCAAAAGGTTTTTGATGTGTGGTGGGATATGTCATTTAAACTCAGTTTAACCGCAAACACAACTCGAAGCGTTTTAGGGTATGGCTGGGAAAAACCAAGGTTGATATTCATGGCCCTCTCCAAAGTCAAAGGTGGCCCCAGGTTCTCGCTTCTTGGCCTCAAATCCAGCTGAGCCCAGACGGTTGTTGTCGAACCTCACTCGCTCACTCGCTCACTCGCTCACTGGCTCGCTCGCTCGCTTGACTCAACTCAACTCAGCTCAACTCAACTCAACTCAGCTCAACTCCCTCACCCCTCACACCGATTCTTTGAACCCCAACAAACCGAACCAAGCGCCGCTCCCCCCACTCTCCGCTTCCCCCGCTCCATCCGCGCACTGCTCCCCCGCGCTGCTCCCGAGCGGCGCGTAGGAGTCCAGGACGACGAGGTATTGGTAGTTGGTGACGATGGGCTTCTGCAGCGGCGCCAAGATGTGCTTGAAGTGGTTCCTTACACCCAAACCCCCATCCAAACCGCCCATAACCACCCAAAGCACCCATCCAAACCACCCATAACCACCCACTAGGGCTTTCTTTGCCTGAATTAGACATGTTGACAGAATAGCTGTTGGAAGTGGTTCCTAACCCCTGCAGCTTTTTTGGGAGGCCGTGACTGGGCCTTATGTCTCAAGGCTAGTCTGCTCTGAACCGTGAAATAGCCCCGTAGGTTCCTGACCGGGGTAATTTTGAATCAGGGCTTGGGCACACAAAACGAGAAATGTATCAAATGGGTGATAGTTTCAGTTGTGGAGCTTTCTGTTGCGGGGCGTTTGACCACCCACTTCAGCCACGGCACTTCTCCTTGGTTGTGATGTCCTTCAACCAGCCGCTGCTTTCCTCGGACTCCACCTCAGTGCCCTGCGCGGCCTTCTCCAATTCCAACAACTCCTACGGGTGCGGAGCCTAGATATGAGTGCGCGTGTGGGCGCGTGGGCGTGTGGGCGTGTGGGCGTGTCTGTGTGTCTCTCTGTGTACCTCTGTGTGTCTCTTGTCCGTGTGTGCATGCGTGCGTGTGTCTGCGTGTGTGTGTGTGTGTTGATTGAGGGCAGCCTTTTCAGGTTGGTTTAAGGGACACCACGCGGAAACCCACCATTTTGGGGGTCCCCTGTTTTGACACATACCCATATATAGCAGCCATGGGGGGCTTGGACAAGAAACGCGAATGGAGAAATCCGTGTCATGTATGTGAACAAACCCAGGTACATTTTTTCCCGACTGGAATTGACCGGCATAAGTTTGCTCATGTTCACAGCCACCTTTCACCGCCGCATCCCGCATGCCAAAATGCAGCAAGTCAGTACCAGTCTGTGCTCTACCAATGTTCTACCCTGGGCTTCGATGTGTTTCTCACAGACCTCATTTCATGCCTTGACAAGATTGAACAAACCTCCCCACTCCCCCAAACGCCTCCTGTGGTTGAAAGAATCGCATCCCTTTGGCTGTCCTGGAAGGGTCTGCTCGTTTCAGTCAAGTCTGTGATGAATCTGGGCATTTTCCCTTCCCAAACTGGAAATAAGAGTTTCCCCAAGGACAGGCTATGTGGAAGCTCGCTTCAACTGCCCCGAATTGGGTAGCGCATCGTAGCTTGTCTGAATTTCCGAATTATAGACAAAGAATTGGAGCCACCACTTTTGAGGTTGGAAACTCATTTTCAATCGGTCCCAGACCCAGCAAACTAAAAGGAATTTAGAGGATGTTCTCAAACTTGGTGGCCGCCACGTTAGTGTTGTCATGAGTTGGGTCAATTCAAGCACGGTGGCTGACTAGTCATCAGGGAATGTCACCGCGCGTAATGATGCGCTGCTTCCATTTGCTTAAGTCCCCTGGACAACAACAAAACCATGTCCATCAGTGCTCGATTCCTTTAAAACCAGAGGAAAATAGGCGGCGCCTTCGGCCTACATAGCTTTAGCTATGGACCAAATCGAGCCAAAAGGTCAACCAGGTCGACTGTTGGGCAGGGATAAATCATCACATGCAGGGGGAGGGTACCCCTTTCTGTGGGGGATTAAAAGGAACCCAAAAGGAGAACTCAGCGTTCTGGGGGTTCCTATGCTAAACAACATTTACAAAAGAATAAAAGAAAAAAACAAAAACACGCCGATGGAAGTGGGCCCCTCCTCGGTGCTCTTGAGCCCCCTCAGCTGCACGGCGTTCAGGCCACAGCCCTCCGCGCTGCACTGGTCGTCCAGATCCAGCGCGGCTTTCACCTCGTTCAATGTCCGTGAGGAAGAAATGGGGCGACATCCCCTTCTTGGTGGTCGATCTGAAGGAGAACCATCCACACAAAGCATGATCAATTTGGGGGAGTTGCTTTGAAAGGTTGTGTTTTTGGGTGTCCTCTTTGGCAGTTGCCCAGTTTGGACCCAAAAAGGAAAGGTGATCATCTTTTGGGCCCACTAGAAGTGGTCACCAAATCAGGAAAACTTTGAAGGATGCCCATCCGCCAAGAGCTAAGTGTGTGGCTTTTAACCCCAAGAACCAGGAAGCCACGGCAAAAAGGACCTGAAAAGGGGGTTGGTGTCTTGAGTAGTCGAATTCAACGCCGGCTTTGAAGGTCCGATGGAAAGGTCCCCGATGGCACAAAGGTGACACGGCGGAAGAAGGGAATCCACCCGTTGTTTCCGTGGGGAAACCATTTGGGAGGGGGTTCTCAAAATAGTCCTGTAAAACGGTTGGTGTCCTCTTCCTGATAACAGCCTCTAAAATGTTGGGTCCGTTTCCTTTTCATACCACAAGGACTCCGAATTTGCGAATCCCATTTTGCGAAAGACTCATTGTGGGAGGAGATTCGAAGTGAGAGGGACTGGCCAGGAGAGTTGAACGGAAGAGCCCGAAGGGTTGAGCCTTCCGACATATTCGCCCAAAATTCCCTCAGCTTTCCTCTTTTGGGCGGTTTGGAGCGCGGTTTGGAGGTATTCCGGGGTGGTGTTTCCAGCTAGCCGGTACAAGATCTCCAGTTCCCACCAATGCAAACCACCAATTCAGGGTCATGTTCAACTCTTACCACCCACGGTTGACCTATGGGCAGTGCCCCTGTGGCTTCCAGGTGCAAGTGACCCGAAAGGTACAAACAAGATACCTTCTTGGGGCTGATTCCATCGGGAGCAAACCAAACAAAGAGAACCATCTGGAGGGGGCAAGCCAATGTGTCTGGAACCTCACTTGCCGAGTGGATGGCCTCAAACAAATCCAAACTTTATATTTACCACTAAAATGGTCTTCCCAAAAAGTTTTAAGTTCATGAACTCAGGAAGTGAGGAACTCACAGGGCTGTGGTGTCATGAGTCGTGTCTATTTTCGGGGGAGGGCAGGAGTAGGAGTCGAGTGGTTCCTCCACCAGTTGGGTCGTAGCCCCAAACTGGCGTCATGGGAAAGATCCGCTTCGCACCTGTTCGGATGGGTAACCTACGAATACTGGGATAAATTACCTACCAACTGGTTGGATGCTGTCCGTCCACACGTCGAATCTATGCTTGGAACACCTGTATGAAGGGCTTCAGAGCCGTAAGGTCGTACATCAAAACTCGTACATAGCACCTAGCCCTTCAAAATGAGAGCCTGCCAATCGGAGAGGTACAGCCGTGTCGGTACATCTCTGGAACCTTTTGATATAAAGATGTATTCATGTATTCACGCTCCTGCACGGGCACGTTAGAATGCGCATGTGAAAAAGATGCACATAAGTATAGATGCGCAAGTACATACATGAAAATTACATGTATGTGCATCTTAAATATAAGTATACAAAAATACATATTCATGTATGCATACCTTTAGTACTGCATGAGTTGATGTGTACGCGCCTAAAAAAAACATGCACCTGAAGGCATGAGGGAAATAATATATACTGGGTATGTTTGGTATTTTCTGGCTGGTGGGCAAAGGGTTCTTGAGGTTCAGGGTTGAGGATTTAGGGCTTTGGAGGCTTGCCGCCGAAAGGTGGTTGGGGGTTTAGGGTTCGGAACCTTCCGGCTTTACGGTTTTGGAGTTTTGCGGACAGTACATGGTTGGCTAAAAGCAGCATACGGATTCGCCACCCCCCCCTCCCCCAGTTCTTCAGCGGGATCCTGCCCAAAGCAACCCCTCAATCGGGTAAAATTCTTAGGGATCAGCAGAAACTATTCGTCCAAGCCATGTCAGGAACTTGGAGGTCGTCATACCCGGACCTCCAGCCGCGGAAGAACGAGGCACCCCTTCATTGGCAGTTGACATTTTGACGGGAAACCCTTCCAACATCACATGTTAAAACCGTGTCTTGTAGTAGGCGGCATTTGAAGGAGAACTGCAAACCAACGAAACCAAGGGCACCACTGGAGGTCTCTGTGCAAACAAACACCCCAAAAACCGGCACCTCATCCGCCGCGGATAGGTGGGCCACCACGGCCAACGAAAGGCCCGCGATCCGTGAGAGCATGGCTGGTGAACGACAAAAACGCGACAGCAAACTTGAGCCTGTGACTGCGAGCCAGAAACTGAAGTTGGAGGGGATGTGTATTGGACGCCGCCAACTCAGCTGTTGCAACCCGAACAAAAAGCATGTTTGACTGTTATCCCTATTAATGAACCACGCAAAAAAGCTAAGATCCTCGCCCTCTCATCAAACAGCACCCCAAACTCACATGATTAAATCCAAAGAATCGCCTTTGCCACTAAAATGGCAACCAAACCTCAACAGTGACTGAAGCCCAGAAACTCAAGATGAGAAACATTTTAGAGGAGTCTCCTCTTGTGGGTTCCTTTCCATCCTAAATTGGGGCTTACCATTCCATTCCCGTGGTCAGGGGTGTGGATACCCAAACATCCCCGCCTGGGCTTTCCCAAAGGCTGAGCATAACTTGCCCATCAAAAAACACTCAGGAACTCAAGGAAGTGAGGAAATATATCAACCAGAAAGAACATTCTTGGAGTCTCCTTCCGACCCTTCAAACATGGGCCCATACCCCCTTCGTTTTGGGTGACCCCACTTCTTTTTGAGCCATGGAGGCTCCAGAGTAAAGCATATGAGACCATATGAAACCCTCAGTTGTTCAGTGACCCTGGAAAAAAAAGAGAACCCTTTCTTGGCAAACCATTTTTCGTGGGGCCGCCACCAAAAAAACGTGAAAATAATTGGTGCCACTGAACAACTGAGATAACCATATCCAACCCCAGTGAACCCAATCTCCACTAAAATCGGTTCTAACATGGGTGGTGCACCGACAACCCCCCAAAATGGGATCCCAAAACGGTTTGGACCACCACAGCCACATCTTCTACACGCGACTCGCCATGGTCCTGCTTGTCCTCCTCCCGCTGCTGTTGCTGCAGAGACCGCAGCTGTTGGGCGATCTTGTCCTCGAGTCGACCGAATTCGGCCCGCCGAACCGATTGGCTCAACATCCCAGGTGTTTCAAGGTTACCTGGACTCTCCATGAGCCTTCAAAATGGGATAACTGTCCAAAGGAATGGGACCATGGCCCCATGATTGAAGGGTCGGAATGAGACTCCAGGTACACTGTTGTCGGTTCCAGCTAAGGAGGTTCTCATGTTCTTAGGCGGTGCCCTTTCAACCAATGTAGAAGGCAGCTGTGAGGATGTCGCGTGCATGGACCCAAAAGTTGCCTGGGCGTTTGTTTGAGGCTCGGAAACCCCTGTTTGAGGCAGGTTGCAAAGCGATCAGTGAACCCCAGAAAACAGATCGAACATGGAACTCTGTCCCTTGTTGTCGATTTCAGATAGTGGCTCTATGCGCTAGGGGTGGTTGCACAGTGGCTTTGTACATGTCGGTTTCCATTCTTTGTGACTCCAAAGTGAGCTCGACGGCCAGGCAGACACTCGGGGACGATGGTTGGTCGGCTTTTGGTTTCCCTTCCAAGAGACATCTGCTAAGCCCTGAGGTCAAAAGACACTGGAAACATCGAATGAAGGCTCTACCAGCGTGCCAGCGGATGCCCTATGGCAAAGCACGGTGAACCAAAGGGTGCCTCTGTCCCTTGCATGCAATGCAAAATAATTAGGGCAAACGGCCCAAGAAAGAACCACTCGGGCGAGGCCACGAAGCGGCAGCGATGCGATTGGTTTGAGCCGTCCGACCCAGGGGCCAAAGGGACAAAAGGAAAACCATGGCAAACCAAACACAAAGGGAACCGAGTGACTACCACTTAGATTCGTAGGTCCGGTGTGGGCCCCTGGGTCTCAAGTCGCCAGTACCCATGGTTAAATGACGCTAATGAATACCA